AAAAAAATATTTTTTAATATCTTTTAGGTAAAGTTGATAAAAGAAAATTAGAAGAAAAGAAAATGATATTAGACAATGTTACGCAACACAATTGTGTCCCCAATAACAACATCATTTGATGACAACATTTTGGTCGCACAAAATACTTGATAAAAAATAATAAACAAGTTGTTAAACTAAACACGAGATAACTAAACCGTGTTGATCTCATGAGGACACAATTATAAGAACATACTAATTACCACATATCATTCTCTCTAAAATAGTAAATTACAGTAAATAGGGAATGAAGGAAAGAGTGAAAAATAAATTGATGCAAAATAATAAAAGTTAAAATCAAATTACTATAAAATATTAACGACAATTAAAATTAAATGGAAACATAATTTAAATAATTGAAATTTATAAAATTGAAATAAAATGCAAGAATAAAAAATTGCTTTTAAGCAAAATAGTGCAGAATTAAAATTAAATTGATGCAGAATTTAAATAATCGAAATTTATAAAATTAAAATAAAATGCTTTTAATTAAAAGTATAAGAATAAAAAATTGTTTTTAAAGTAAAATAGTGCAGTAATTAAATTTGAAATTTCTGAAAGCCATAAAACTAAATTGAGAATTTGAATTGGAAAATAAATGAATTGAAAATGACAATTAAGTAGTATTGGAATAAAAATTCTACACAATTAAATAACAAGAACTAAAATGAGCACTGAATGTAATAAAGTAAATAAAATAATATAAACTAAAAAATTCAATAGAAATTACAAATTAAATAAAAGAAAATAAAGCGGAAGTGCAGTAGTAGTTGATGAGTTCGTCTAACTAAAAACCAAACAAAAAATTGAGAGTAGAAAAAGAAAATGGGGACAAGACAAAATAATAATTCTCACCCCGGGATTAGGAGATTATGATCGTATTGTCATAAGATATCTATTTATAGGGGTTTGAACAAGAGAAATTAAACCTAAAATTAATTAAAATCAAATCAAATGTTTCCTAAATAAAAATTGTCAAAATCAGATTGTTGTGAAGAGAAACTTTTAGGATTGATTTGGAGAAAATAATATGTTTCTTTCCTATTTTAAATGATCCAACATTGATTTTTATTTAATTCTTGATTTCTGCTAGTCTTTAATTCAGCTAAATTGGATTACTGTACCAATTAATTTGCTTTATTTAAAATTTACATTTATAACATTTTGTAAATGGGTTGCACAATCAAATTTGGACTTCTGATAAGAGTGAAGCTTGACAACTATCAATTTGGACATTTCATTTCATAAATTTGGCCTATCTCAAATTACCTCTAGTACAATAGAAAAAAAAGAAATATGCATTGTAGATGTATGTATATATATTATTTATTATGCTAAAACTATGCAAATACAACAAATTAAGAAAAATTGAATTATGCTATATTTTTAATAAAAATATGTTAAATGCATAGTTTATTAATAAAATAATTAACTTAAAAAATATTCTTAGACTAAGAAATAAAAAATAAAATGACATACATCAATGATCTACATGCGAAGTATAATACATAGTTGATGCTATGTGTTGATGTCGAGATGTATGGTTAGACAAATTATTGGTTGAATTGATGAAAAAAAAATGATGTATAAATGAAGTTGTTTATTAGCAACAAGTCAACAATAAATTTGTCAAAAAAAATCCTATAATGCATGGAATTAAATTTTATTACCTTAGAGATCAAGTGAATGGAGGAAAATTTGAGTTGTTATATTGCAACTTATGATCAAGTTGCAGATGTTTTAACCAAACCAACAAGGGGAGAGAGATTTAGATTTTTGAGAAATAAATTGAGTGTATTTGATGTTGAAAAACTAAATTGAGATGTAATTCAGTTTTAAATCTGTTTCCTTAACTGTTTCAGTTGTGTATAAATAACATGTAATAATATGCACTGTACTCAGCATTTTCAAGTATCTGTTTATTTGTATTTTAGCGTCCCAACAAAAATGTTCTAAATTCTTCTCATTCATGTCATTACAAATTCAAAAGACAATGCTTGTGCGGATTCTTTAGCTACCTTAGTTTTAAATATAAACAATATTTTATTCTGTGGAACTATGTTCCGGTCTGTTAGGAACAAGACAATAATAAAGGAAAGAATGAAGGAGAGAAAAATAAACGACACAAGAATTTTAACGTGGTTCGACTAAAATATGTATGCCTACGTCCACGACTACACTAGGAAGTAATTTTTATTTCTGTGTGTATCTCAAACTTTACATAGGGTTGCTTATATAACAAAATAGAGAACCTCATCTCACAATCCTAATCGATGTGGGACTAAATCAAGCACCATAATACTAAAGAGGAAATTTTTATGACACAGCCAAAAGGTTTTGAAGTACAAGGCGGAGAAAATCTTGTATGCAAGCTTCATAAAAGTTTGTACGGATTAAAACAAGCGCCGAGACAATGGTACAAGAAGTTTAATGAGTTTATGAGAAACTCAGGATTTCGCAGATGTGAAGAAGATCACTGTTGTTATGTGAAGAAATATGTTGATAGCTATATCATTCTTGCCTTATATGTTGACGACATGTTGATTGTTGGAGCTAATATGGCAGAAATTGACAAGTTGAAGAAACAATTGTCAGAGAGCTTTGAAATGAAGGATCTTGGTCCAGCCAAGCAAATTCTTGGTATGAGAATCTCCCGAGATAGAGATAAAGGTATTTTGAACTTATCTCAAGAAAAATATATAGAAAAATTGCTTAGCAGATTCAATGTTGGGAATGCTAAAACCAGGAATACACCTTTGGGAACTCACTTAAAGTTTTCAAAGAGGCAATCTTCTCAAACAGAAGAAGAAGAAAGTCACATGTCTAAAGTGCCATATGCATCTGCAGTAGGAAGCTTGATGTATGCTATGGTTTGCACCGGACCGGACATAGCACATGCGAGTGGGAGTTGTGAGCAGATTTCTATCAAATCCCGGAAAGGAGCATTGGGAAGGAGTGAAGTGGATATTCGGATATTTGAAAGGCACTTCAAAGATGCATTTGTCTTTCAAGAGAAGTAATCTCATTTTACGGGGGTTTTCCGATGCGGACTTGGGAGGTGATCTTGACGGTAGAAAGAGCACAACAGAGTTATATTTTTACATTGGGTGGTACAGCTATCGGTTGGAAGTCTAAACTTCAAGGAAGGGTCTCTCTCTCAACCATCGAAGCGAGTATGTAGCTATCTCGAAGCGGCGAAGGAGATGATATGGTTGAAGAACCTTCTAAAAGAATTAGGAAGAGAACAAGATGGTTCTCCATTGTTTAGTGACGAGTCAAAGTGCTATTTGTCTTGCTAAAAATCCAATCCTTCATTCCGAGATGTAAGCACATTGAATTGAAGTATCATTTTATCGAAACCCGATAAATGATGGAGACTTGAGTTTGTTGAAGATTCCAGGTGCGGAGAATCCCGCGATATGTTGACCAAGACTGTTACAACAACTAAGTTGAGGCTTTGCATTGCCTCAACTGGCCTTCGAGCAAATTGATGATGAAGGCACTACACTAGGTGGTAACGTAAATCAAACTCCAAGTGGGAGAATTGTTAGTATTATGGTGCTTGATTTAGTCCCACATCGATTAGGATTGTGAGATGAGGTTCTCTATTTTGTTATATAAGCAACCCTATGTAAAGTTTGAGATACACACGAAATAAAAATACTTCCTAGTGTAGTCGTGGACGTAGGCATACATATTTTAGCCGAACCACGTTAAAATTCTTGTGTCGTTTATTTTTCTCTCCTTCATTCTTTCCTTTATTATTGTCTTGTTCCTAACACGGTCTTCATATTTCTAGAGAAGACAATGCTTATGCTTTTGCTAGAAATAAGAATCGTCTTCATGAGTTTCGCGTTGTATAATTTTTTCATGAGTTTTGGTCTAATCTTATAATTTGTTTTTAGATTATATATATATATATATATATATATATATATATATATATATTTTTTTTTCACATTAGTTTTTATAACATTAAAATGAAAATAAAAATTTAAATTTTATAACAATAATATAATAATATTAACATGAGTCATCTATGTGTGTTTACATTCACATAAATATGAAAAAATTCTGGTGCAAAAATTTATAAGATGTTTCATAAGAGTGTAATTCACTCGTAGGGTGTAAAATCATGTTAAAAGAAAATTTATATAAAATGTTCTCCCTACATATGTGATTAAGACATAAGAGCGTGAGAGGTGTGCAAGAGACATTTTGACACCATTATGAGAACCAAATATCCTCCGCAAAAATGTTATAACGTTCAAATTTCCGATAACTTTTTTAGTTGCAAATTTTATCATTGATTAATATAATGAAATATTTGTGATGGATTCCGTTCCTTGCTAAATTGGTTTTTTCTAATAATACATATCAAATTACTTAAGTGCGAGAGGCACCAATCCTTCCTAATCCTTAGGATGAGTGAGAACAATATTTTTAATCAAATGTCAACCTTTAGACATTTGACAAAGAATTAAAAATGTATTTATTTATTATTTTTATTCATTAATATGTTTTTATGTTCAATATAGCTCCAACATTATTTATAAAAAAATCTATTATTTATTAACCCGTACTCTGTAAGCGTTGGTTAACTAAGACCCACATACTCTTGATTAGCTCAAGTTATTGATACCTTTATAATTATTTATATTCATATTTTATTAATAATTTCACTATTTTTAATTGCAATTAATTGAAACGCAATACGATATTAGCTCAAAGAAACTTACATAGATTAGTATAATTTGAAATGTATAATTAAAATGGACAATGAAATAAAATATAGATAGTTTCATCTTAATAAACTTTCCAACGTTTTTGTATAAAAAAAACGAAGGATAATTATTTCACACAAACATTTTGCGGGTGGAATGACATAAACTTTGAGGAATAAGCTCTTGACCTTAATTATGTGGATAATGTTGCATTATAAAAGCTTTGTCGTTCGTTTATCAACTGAATCCAAATGGATACTTCTCTTGTTTGTTAGGAAAGAAGAGCCCAAAATGTTTCTCTATCTCAGGACTCTTTTGATTCTCATCGAACATGGCAAATATATAGATCTCTGTGGATTTTGAAGGCCTTCTAGGGCTACCTGATTTAGCACGAAGGATCAAATTATCTAAGTAGGTGTCTGCGTTGTCGTAAGTGGCAGCAAAGCCTCCATCCGATGGCCATCCACTCTCGGATACAACAAACCTCCACATAACCAATTGCAGCATGAACCGAATCCAACATTGCATCAAACAAATTCTGGTATCCGTATTGACCATCCCATACTACAACATTTGGTGAAGTGAAAAGAGCATAGGAAAGGGATATGTCAATAGGGTTATCCGAGTAACTAAAATAAGGGTACACATTGGCTAGTAAAGGTGCATTTGCATATACCAAGTACCCAATTATAGGGTCTATGTATGACCTCACATCAGCTCTGAAGGAGCCTTGTGACGGGGGTAAGAATTTCCTAATAGGTCCTGTCAATCCACTATAAGAAAAAATACTTTTGGCGATCGAAATTAGTGACTGAATTTTTTCGATCGTAATTAACAACTGATTTAATTCGATCGCAATTAGCTATTGATTTAATTCGGTCACAATTGACGACTGATTTAACGACCGATTTAATTAGATCACAATTAGCAATCGATTTAGCGACCGATTTAAGTCGGTCGCAATTAACGACCAATTTAGCGACTGATTTAATTTGATCGCAATTTAGCGACCGATTTTATTCAATCACAATTTAGCAACCGAAATATGATTTAGTTTCATTTTTTTATTTAGCGACCGAAATAGCGATCAATAGTTTGCATCACAAAATTTCGGTCGCTAAATCGATGACTATTCCATACTAAAATAAAAAAATTTATTTAGCAACTGATTTAGCGACCGAATGACAAATTGAAATAGTGACCGAATTAAAATTGGTCGCTAATGAGAAAATAACGATCGAATTAAAATCGGTCACTAATGAATATTATTTTTTTATTATATTTAAATTTATTTTTTTATAAATATACTTTAATTTCTTTAGTATATTTTTATAATATTTTTATCATTATTATATTTTTGGATTAATTGTTTTTTTCTTAATTTTTTATAAATTCAATTTTAATATTTAAAAATATTTAACATTTTGAATTCTGAAACCCTAAACCCTAAACTTTTTCTCTATTAGAAAATTTAAAAACATAATATACTAAAAAAGTATTATACATAATTATTTCATCCAAATTTTTAATAATATGATAAATCATCAAATTCGTTTTTTCTTCTTTGATGTCTTTTCTTTTCGAATAGTATGTTAAAATAATATTAATTATTTTAAATTATAAGAAAAAAATAAAAAAAAAATTGAAGTTAAAAAATACATAAAAATAAAATAAAATAAATTTAAATACTTGTCTTAAATAATATAAAACAAATTTAATGATGGATTAAAATAGAACAACATTTATAAGGGACTATTTATTTTTATTTATGATGGATCAAAAGTGTAAATATATTTAAATTTGTAATTTTATTTATGAAACACATTTAAATTTATAATTAACGAAAATAATGAAAATCTTAATATAATATGATACTTTTAATAATGTATTTTTCTATAAATTTAAACTTACTTTTTTTTAGTTTAGTTTTTAAATTTTATGTATTATTATTGTTAATTGATATACTAGAATAAATTTATATAAAAATAGTCTTTATCTTCAAAATTCACTTATTCAAATTCTATCTTTATATTTTTCTACTGCTTCTTTATAGTTAAGAAGGTCAACATTTTTTCACACACTTAAATATAATATAAAGTAAAGATTATTTATTTATTCTATTTTCTTTCCAATCTATAATTTTAGTATTTTTTTAAATATATTTTATATTTTTAAAATTAATAATTTTATCGAACCATTTTATTTGATTTATTATAATAAAAATCATAAAAATAAATGTTAAAATAATATTAATTATTTAAATTATAAGAAAATAAATAATAAAAATAGAAAATAAAGTATCCTATAAAAGAAGACTATTTATTGTAAAAATAAAATAGAATATGGGAGGAGATGAAGATGATAATGTAGTAGAAACGATAGAGTTTTCAAAAAAATGTAGAATGTGAGAAGTTTAGAAAGAAAAAAAAGTTAAAAAAAGGATATATACATAAGTAATTGGATTAAATTTATTATCCTCTCATATATTATTATACATTATTAGTGTAATTTTAGTTTAATTAAAAATTAGAATACAAATATCCTATATTATACTAATATACCAATATATTATAATATTTGTAATTTATTTTCATTGTGTATAAATTACAAAACTAATAATTTTTAAAAATTTTAATGATAATTTTTTTAACTTATATATTACAAAATATTTTTAATACTTTAATAAATATAACTTTTTTAAAATATATTTCATCAATTTAAAGTATAATTTTTTTGTATTTTTTTAAATATGGATATCTTTAATATTTTTTACATGTAAATATAATTTATATATATTTTTAAACCTTTTTTTAAATTTGTTTTTAAAAATATAATATTATTTTTAATATTTAATATTTATATTTTAAATCTTTTTCTTAAATGATGAACAAATAATAATAATATTTTTTAATTAATTAAATTTATAAATAATGAATTAAAACCATTTATTATATTTTGAAAAATATAATATTATATTTAATATTTTAATGTTTATATTATAAATTCTTTATTAAAATATTAGGGTTCTTGTCTTTTTCTTTTCTTTCTTCTCTACTTCAAGCTATTAAGAATTTTTTTTCCATCTTATAAATTAAATTTTAAATATAAAAATATATAAATATATAAATATACAAATACGTAAATATACAAATATGTAAATATACAAATATGTAAATATACAAATATGTAAATATACAAATATATAAATATATAAATATATAAATATACAAATATATAAATATAACAAAATATATGAATATATGGATATATAAATATATAAATATATTTCTATTTATAGATTTTATATTTATATATTTATACCAATATATATTTATTTGTATATAAATATAATTTATTTGTAAGTTATTATCAGAAAATCTTGTAGCTTAGTAGTTAGAGTATTAGTTTCCAACCGTTCGAATCTTGTCATTGACACTAATGTGATAATAATTCAAATTTCTAAAAAATATAATAAATATATGAAGGGGAGGGTAATAAATAATAAAAATATAATATAAAGGTCTAGGGGAGCCTCTAGATAATAAAGGGGTTGTAAATAAATAAAAAATGTAAATAATTAACTTTGTTATCGATTTAGCGACTGATATAAATTATTCGCTATTTTTTTTAATTTTACCAGTGATTTATCGACCGATTTAATAATATTAATTTCGGTCGCTACTTAGGTATTTAAGGAATAAGCAACCACCTATTGGTCACTAACACATTAGCGACTTGGTCTTTTGCGATGATGTATTTCGGTCGCTAACTGATTAGCGACCGAATTTTTTAGTTACTAAACTGTCACTACAAGAAAAATGACATTTAGCCACCGAAATTAGCGACCGAATTTTTTCGGTCGCAAATAGCGACCGATTTAATTTTGGTCGCAAATAGCAACCGATTTAGCGACCACTTTAATTCGGTCGCAATTAGCGACCGATTCAGCGACCACTTTAATTCGGTCTCAATTAGCGACCGATTTAGCGACCAAAATATGAATTGGCTTTCATTTTGTTATTTAGCGACCGAAATAGCGACCAATAATTTACGTCGCAAAATTTCGGTCGCTAAATCGGTGACTATTCCACACTAAAATAAAAAAATCATTTAGCGACTGATTTAGCGACCGAATTACAAATTGAAATAGTGACCGAATTATAATCGGTCGCTAATGAGAAAATAGCGACCGAATTGAAATCGGTCGCTAATGAATATTATTTTTTTATTATATTTAAATTTTTTTTTATAAATATACTTTAATTGTTTTAGTATATTTTTTACAATTTATTTTTTAAAAGTAATTTAGTTTTTAAAAATAATTTAATTTTTAAAATATACTTTAAAAATAAACTTTGGTCTCAATATTAACAAAATGAATTGTAATAAATCAAATTTATTAAAAATTTAAATTGTAATAAATTAAGACTAGAGTGATGTTAACTATTCAATACATTGTTTAAGAAAAGTTTAATAACAAATATTCTTGAATTTATTTTTCAATTGAAATTTTCAATTGAAATTAATTTATATTTTAAAAATTTATATTAAAAAATTGAAGAAAATAGAGATTTAATTATACTTTTAATAAATTTAACATAATAATAGTTTTTATTTTTATTTTTAAATATTTATTTTAATTTTTTAAAACAGAGAAACTATAATTTTAGTTTCTAAATACTAAATTTAAAGAATTAAATTTATTATTATTTAATCTTTTTAATTTTAGTATTAAAAATTTAAATTATATTTTATTAAATTAAAATAATATTACAATATATTTTAATACCTTGAGAATGAAAAATATAATTAAACTAAAACTGAAAATATTATAATACATTTTTGAACTCTTTTTGATTAATTTTTTTTCCTAATTTTTTATAAAGTCAATTTTAATATTTAAAAGTATTTAACATTTTGCTTTCTGAAATGTTTTCTAGTATTACCAAATTCCAAGTTACGAGAGAAACCAAGTGCCCAAATTCCAGGCACCAAACAATACAAAAAGAATGTAAAGAAATGAAAAAGAAGAAACTAGAATGCTCAAACCAGTTTATGCAATTCTGCTGTAAGTGTTTCTTCTTCAAAAGAAATCAAGTTGCCTCAAGAAAGATTTTCAAAGAACTTCTCAAAAATTGATGCGAATCTTTCTTGAAAAGAGTGCTGAAGTTTGCTTGATTGATTGCTCAAGGATGTGTAAAAGATGATATTCAATGTATGTTAAAAAAGTTCAAGCCAAACTGTTTTAATAGAAGATTTTCAAAACTGCTGGTTTAATTAATCTGTTAAAAGATTCTTTTAATCTGTTAAAAGTGCAGTTTTAATCTGTTAAAACATCTTTTAATCCATTAATACGTTCTTGATTCTTTAATAGATTTGTTTTAACTGATACGACAACGTTTATATCAATTAAAACACTTTACAAAAAATCCTCTAAGTTGATTTAATCGATTGTTTCACGATTCAATCGATTGAAATACTGCAAAACTTTCTTGTAAAACTTTTCAAGTTATTTTAACTGATAAAAATAAGTTTTAATCGATTAAAACGCTGTGTAGAAATTTTTAAGTTGTTTTAATCGATTGAAACGAGATTTAATCGATTAAAACTGCTTCTGATCGGTCATAATTGCATTATGATCGATCATCCTGAACCCTTAAGTGGTTTTAATCGATTAAAATCAAGTTGTATCGATTAAAATATTGTAAAATGTATTTCGCTTGAGCGACAATGGTCTCGCTCGAGCGAAACGCCCACTGCACAAAATTGGCATTCTCGGGTTGTATTTCGCTTGAGCGACACCACTCTCGCTCGAGCGAAATACGATTCTGATCGATCATAACTTGAAATGATCGATCATAATTGAGAGGATATAATAGCGGTTAGGGTTAACCGCTATCTAAAATGTATTTTAGATAGCGTTATGAGTTAACCGCTATCTAAATCATATTTTAGATAGCGGTTAAGCGTTAACCGCTATTAGAAGTGTTATTCGCTCAAGCGAAAATAAAATCGCTCGAGCGAAACGCCCCTGCACAAAATTGGCATTCTCGGTTGTATTTCGCTTGAGCGACTCTAGTCTCGCTCGAGCGAAATCCGATTCTGATCGATTATATTTTCAAAATGATCGATCATATTTGATAATTTTTTCAAATAATTAATTATAATCGATTAGTTTTCTAAATTATTGATTAGAATTGATTAGTTTTTCAAATAATAGATTAGAATTGATTAATTTATGAAATTTATAATTAAAAATATAGATTATTTAAGAATATTAACTATTGTAAAGATAAAGTAGAACATGGGATGAGATGCGGATGATAATATAATGATAGAAGTTACAAAAATGTAGAATTGAGAAGTTTGAAACAAAAAAAATGAAGATAATACTAGTTTTGATATTGATTTTTATTTTAATTATTTAAAACAGAGAAACTATAATTTTAGTTTCTAAATACTCAATTTAAAGAATTAAAGTCATTATTATTTAATCTTTTAATTTTAGTATTAAAAATTTAAATTATATTTTATTAAATTAAAATAATTTCAATATAATTTTCTACTTTGAGAATGAACAATATAATTAAGAAGATCAAGTCTAATGTTATTGATGCTAATTTTAACAATAATACAATAATATTATTTTCGAAAATGCCCATATGAATGTGAATATTTTGATTATTATTATATAAAATAATTAAAAGAATAAGGTAAATATTATATAAAATAATTAAAAGAATAAGGTAAATAGAAAAGTAAAATGCATGGTTATACCACTTTCCTTTTAATCTATAATTAGTTAGGTATGAATCAAATGTAAAATCTAATGTTATTGATGCTAATTTTAAGAAAATCACAAAATGTAAATTAAAATAATTACAATATAATTAAACTCAAAATTGAGAATACTCTTATACATTTTTGAACTCTTTTGGATAAATTTTTTTTCCTAATTTTTGATAAAGTTAATTTTAATATTTAAAACTATTTAACATTTTCAATTCTGAAAGGTTTTCTCTAATAGCAAATTTAAAAACATAATATTCAAAAAAATATTTTAAGATTGTGAATTCTCGGGTTGTATTTCGCTTGAGCGACATGATCTATCGCTCGAGCGAAATAAGATTCTGATCGATCATAATCGAGAGAATATAATAGCAGTTAGGGGTTAACCGCTATCTAAAATGTATTTTAGATAGCGGTTAACCGCTATCTAAATCATATTTTAGATAGCGGTTAAACGTTAACCGCTATTATAAGTGTTATTCGCTCAAGCGAAAATAACATCGCTCGAGCGAAACGCCCTCGCACAAAATTGGCATTCTCGAGTTGTATTTCGCTGAGCGACTCTAGTCTCGCTCGAGCGATTTTTTGCTCTGATCGATTAGATTTTCAAAATGATCGATCATATTTGATAATTTTTTCAAATAATTAATTATAATCGATTAGTTTTATAAATTATTGATTAGAATTGATTAGTTTTTCAAAGAATAGATTAGAATTGATTAATTTCTAAATATATACTAAAAAATTATAAATAAAAATATAAATTAGTTAAGAATATTGACTATTGTAAAGATAAAGTAGAACATGGGAGGAGATGAGGATGATAATATAATGATAGAACTTACAAAAATGTAGAATTGAGATGTTTGAAACAAATAAAATTAAGAAAATAGAGATTTAATTACACTTTTAATAAATTTAAGATAATACTAGTTTTGATTTTTATTTTTAAATATTTATTTTAATTTTTTAAAAACAGAGAAACTATAATTTTAGTTTCTAAATACTAAATTTAAAGAATTAAATTTATTATTAATATTTTTTAATATTGTTTTAAATGTGGATATCTTTAATATTTTGGACATATAAATATAATTTATACATGTTTTTAAACCTTTTTCTAATATTTGTTTTTAAAAATATAATATCATTTTTAATATTTTATAGATTTTATATTTATATATTTATAAAAGTAATTAGATTAAATTTATTATCCTCTCATATATTATTATACATTTAGCGTAATTTTAGTTTAATTTAAAATTAGAATACAAATATACTATACTAATATACCATTATATTATTTTCATTGTATATAAATTACAAAATTAATAATTTGTGTACTATACTATACTAACATATTATTTGTATACTATACTAATAGTATAATATACTATATTATAATATTATTTGTATACAAAACTAATATCTTTATATATAAATATATAAATATGGAAAGATATAAATATATGTAAAAATATAAACATATAAATATATATAAATATGTAAAGATATAAACATATATCTTTAATATTTTGTACATGTAAATATAATTTATATATATTTTTAAATCTTTTTCTAATATTTATTTTTAAAAATTTAATATTATTTTTAAAATTTAATATTTTTTTTTCAAATATATAAATATATATAAAGATATAAATGTATAAGGATATAAATAAATATATCAATATATCAATATATAAATATATCAAAATATTAATATATAAATATATTAATATATAAATATATAAATATATAAATATATATATATATATATATATATATAAATATATAAATATATAAATATATAAATATATAAATATATAAATATATAAATATATAAATATATAAATATATAAATATATAAATATATAAATATATAAATATATATATATACAAATATATCAATATATCAATATTATCCCCTCATATATTAATATACATTATTAGCATAATTTTAATTTAATTAAAAATTAGAATACAAATATACTATCCTATACTAATATACCATTATATTATTTTCATTGTATATAAATTACAAAATTAATAATTTGTATACTATACTATACTAATATATTATTTGTATACTATACTAATAGTATAATATACTATATTATAATATTATTTATATAGAAAACTAATATCTTTATATATAAATATGAAAAGATATAAATATATGTAAAAATATGAAGATATAAATATATAAAAATATAAATATATGTAAAAATATAAAGATATAAAGATATAAATATATCAATATATAAATATATCAATATTTAAATATATATTAAAATATATAAATATATTTTTATTTATAGATTTTATATTTATATATTTATACTGGATATACATTTATTTGTATATAAATATAATTTATTTGTAAGTTATTATTAAAAGATCCTAGTAGTTCGATGGTTGGAGTTTCAACCTCCAACTCTAAGGTACCGGGTTCGAATCCTGACAATGACAATGAATCACCTAATAATAAGTTAAACTTCTAAAAAATATAATATAATTAAGAGATAGGAGAAATAAATATAAATAAAAACTTAAATAAGCAAAAATATAATATAATTAAGAGGTAGGGAAAATAAATAATAAATATAATAAAAATGTAAATAAAAAAAATAATTAAATTTGTTATTGATTTAGCGACCGATTTAAATCGGTCACTAAATCAATGAAAAAGTTAAATCGCTATTTTTGTACCTTTTGTCATTGATTTAGCGACCGATTTAAATCAGTCGCTATTTAGCGACCGATTTTCATTTCGGTCGCTAATTAGCGACCGATTTAATTCGGTCGCTATTTAGCGACCGAATTAGCGACCAATTTGATATATTAATTTCGGTTGTTATTTTGCGACCGAAATAAAATCGGTCGCTATTTTGCGACCGAAATGAAAATCGGTCGCTAACACATTAGTGACTAGGCTTTTTGCGACTACGCATTTCGGTCGCTAATTTCGGTCGCTAACTGATTAGCGACCGATTATTGGGCATTAGCGACCGATTTTTTCGGTCGCTAAAATGTTTTTTTCTTGTAGTGTGTTTTTTCTTATAATGATAGCTGTTGAAACCTTAATTTGATCACGAAGGCTTTGAGCCCTTATAGCTTGGTATATGTTTTGGATTGCAGGTAGAACATATTGGGTGTACTGAGAGGACCCTCCAACGGGACTCACTTCGTTGCCAACTGCTATGTACTTGATTTTGACACTAGGCCAATAGTTCAACACGTTAGTTTGCACCCATTGAATAGCATTGTCAGCGCTGGTAGCAAGACCTTGAAGGTCGGGGTTGGCCACCCCAAGAATGAGCTCAATGCTTGAACTTCTAAGTGCATTTAGAGCATCTTGATTAGGATGATAGATTCTCATTCTGTTTATATTGTTTGATATGTAAAGACTTACAACTTCACTTGCCGAGGGTAAATTGTCACCCATTGTGCCATAACACACGCCAATTTGAGCATCTGCTAGCCAAAACATGAAAGTTGTATATCCATAAGAATATGTTATAATTAATGCATACTAAGCAATATACTGAAGGAATCCCTTCAATAGACAAACTCACTACTAAGTCATGATCAACAATGTATTAAGTTCAGAAAGCCATGATCTCACAATATATGAAGCACACCATATATATATATGTATATATATGCGAAACTGATAGAGAACACTGAATAAATGTGGTGCAGCTTATTTTAAAGAAATTTGTTTCTGTTAGCTTTAATGTCTCAAGAGATCTTTTAAGAAAACTGATCATTTGAAAAGAAAAGGTCATTCCTAAATTCACTATGATTGCTAATGGTATTACGTGGATATATAGAATATGCCGCAATATTATATATCTATCTACCAGTTTATCAGTGGTGAAAATGAGAACCTGCACTGCGAAGGTTTATTGTGAATAGCTGGAGAAGAAGCAGAAGCGTAGGCAATGAGAAAGTCTTGCTTGGGGTGAAGAGAGAAGGCATGGTGCAAAAAGGGGAGGAATTGAATATACATTTCATTCCTGCAATCCCCCCTTATATACCGTGACCATGAATGTCTTACAAGCAATTTTAATTATATAAAAATCTAAATAAACAATATCCTGTTGTCTATGTTTATCATCCATTATACTCAATATCCTTATCTTCTAATATCTTTCCACAACAAAAAGTCTTTGTCTTGTCACCGTAATTCTCTTCTTATTTAGATTAGCAAGAACTCTCAGATATAGGAAAAAAAAAAATGAAATCGTGAACAGATATCATTTTAAATCTGGGAGAACTTTCATAAAATGACATACAAAATAACTTACGAGCAAAGAAATTAATTCAATCTATTGAAAAATAATACAGGTCGCAACGCTGCACTGAGACGTCTTTACCTTTATCTTTGTAAAATTAACCTTTGGAAACATTTATTCGTTGGTACATTCTCTTATTAACAGTAACAAAGCTTATTTTATTTTCCTCTAATTTTTAATATTTTGTATCATCTAAATTAACTGAATTTAAGGAAAAACAAAAGTCAACAGCAATTAAGGTCGATTACAGAAGACGGAACCTAAGATACAACTTATCAATGATGGAAAATAATTTTAATGTTCTTAATTATATAATACACACATTTTGTTTTGTTTTTGTAATTAACACTTTTTTCAAATATGTTTCACTGACAATTTAGAACTATAGGAAGCTCGGGTTGCTGTAACCGTGGTTTCGTTAGAATCAGAAACCCTATACCTTCTATCTTGTGTTTCTTGTTCTTGCGTGAGCGTGGTTGACTAATGCAGAGAACATTGGAAAAGAGAAGTGGAGAACGTAAGCCAAGAGAGAAACCAGAGGGAGCACACATATACGTTATCATTCTTATCTGAACCCTAATAACAGATGACGTGGATTCTTTTAATGATGTCATGTTTTAAATCATTTTTAATGGCTCCTTCCGATATATATATATATATATATATATATATATATATATATATATATATATATTAATTTGTGTATGGTTTTCGTTTTATCTTTTTGTACATATCAGTTCTGTTACGCGCATGTTCAGTTCTTCAAGTTCACTCATGCCCTAGCAGCCACTAGCATCTTTTGGAAAAGTCAATTTCATATTTAATGGCTGCACCAAAAAACTAGCTTCGTCAATATTTTCTATTTATCAATTTTGTTTCGTAAATGGTATTTATTTCTGCCAATTTAACAGTGCGTTAAGATTTTTTTTGCCATGGTTTTTAGTATTTTTTTTTAATAAATTTATGATTTTTAAGATATAAAGAAACCTAAATCTCACATTTTTTATTCTTTCGTGCATTGAAATCTGATAATATTTTGGTGCATGACATAAAGTTAAACATGTACTCAAGGAAATAACATTTTCAGAAAAAAAAAACTACATTAATTCTGCATACCCTTAATTTCAAGTGATTGGTAGGAAAATACTATGATGAAAATATGAAATTTACATGATAACTTAAATTTATCTGATGTAACTCTTCGAGGTGCGTGTAATGAATTGACTATTTATTATATGATAATAATAAGTTTACACAATTTGTTTTCCATAAATTTTTATTTGTATGACTATTTTTACAAGTAAAAGATAAATACAAAAGAAAAGAGAAAAAAGTGTAAAAAAAAAAAAATATTATTAGGTAAATGTTGATAAGGAAAAAAAGAATATTTTTTATTTAAAAATGATAGAAATATATATTCAATGTATGTTATTATATTCATTATTTTTTATCCAAGTTCATTTTGTAAACTAATTATTTTATTTATAAATTATGCATTTAATACGTTTTTATTATTTTAATTCAATTTTTATTTTATATTTTATTTTGCATAGTTTTAGCATAAAAAAATAATATATATGTATATATTTATAATGTATATTTCTTTTTTCTTTTGTAGGAGAAAGATAATTTGAGATAGGCCAAATTGATGGAAATAAAGGCTCAAATTGATATAGTCGAAGTTTCATTTTTATCGAAGTCCAAGCTTACTTGTATAGTCTACTTGCGGAATGTTACCGATGAAAATTTTGAATCAAACCAATTAACTGGTGTGAGAATTCTGAATTAAATGTCAGCATGAATAAAAAATTAAATGCAATGGATCACTCAAGATAGGAGAGAAGTATATTAATTTCACTAGATCAGTTATGTAAATTTCTGTTCACAGCAATCTAAATTTGCAATTTTTAATTTGGGAAACATTTGATTTTATTGTAATTAATTTTAGACCTAGTTTTTCTTATTCAATCCCATATAAATAGAGGTTTAATGATAACAAAATCACAATCTCTTGTTCTAGGGTGAACTATTATTTAGTCCCATCCCCATCCCTATTTTCTATTTTTTTTCTTAGTTTTTAATATGGGTTTTAGTTATTGTTACTATACTTCCAATTTGTTCTTTTTTATTTAATTTGTAATTTCTATTGAATTTTCTAATTTATATTATTCTATTTACTTTATTCATTCAGTATTTATTTTAATTTCTTTTATTTAATTTGTTTAGAATTTGTTTATTCTGTTTAATTTTTGCTTTTAATTCATCTATTTTTCAATTCCAATTCTCAATTCTCAATTTTAAAAGTTCGTTCTATTGGTTTAATAATATATGTTAACAATATTTAAAAGCCAAGGAACAGAGAGATGTACCCAGGGTATAGAGAGAGATAGAAAGATAGGGGAACCTCGTTCTTCTTTTCTAGATTTCCAGACGCTTGCGGTGTAAGGGACATATGGAAAATTTTTACATGATGGGAAAGGTAATCGACATATTCATATCCCAAAAAAGAAACAAACTCGACCCGCGCTTTGGTTTTGTGAGATTCGTAAATGTAGGAAATGTCAAGCAAATGGAAAGAAACCTAGATGGTATTTGGATTGGATCAACAAAGATGCATGTTAACATACCTAGGTACAGAAGACACGAACCTCAGTCAAATCGGGCGAACATAGAACAAAAAATTAAGCAGGTATGGATGAGGAAAGTCGGTCATTGGTCATTTGCAAACATCGTAAAAGGGAATGAGGAAATCATAACAAGCGAGGAAGAGTGGAAGGGAAGAACAATGACAGTGGAGGAGAATGTGCAGAAATGGATGGAAGACAGCTTCATCGCTGAAGCAGCGAGAGGAATAGGTAAGTCAGAAATCGAAAGTAATTTGTTTCTGAACGGTATATGCAATGTTCAAGTGAAGGAAATGGGAGACAATCTATTTCTCATCAGCGGAAATTCGGCGGAGGAACTAACAGGAATAGTGGAAGCAAACTTTGAATGACTCTCTAAGCTATTCAAATCCATAACTAGATGGGACAAAAATATGGTGAGTGGAAATAAACAGGTATGGGCGAGATGTAGGGGTATCCCGATAGCTCTTTGGTCGAAAAAAAACTTTCGAGAACATAGTATCAGTACTGGGAACTTTGCTAGAGGTGGATGAGAAAACTAACAAGTGGCGACGCTTGGATTATGGAAGAATTAAAATCAAATTGCCAATTTTGACTCAAGCAACATTGGCTCAGAGGATAAAAATTAATGGCAGAGTACACATGGTAGTGATAGAAGAAGAATGGACAGAAAAGGGATTCAGATGCGCTACGTGTGAAGGCAAAGACGACGAGAGGGAGTGGGTTGGGCTTTTACACGAAGAATATATGCTGGCCCATTATCTGCAAAATCTGGAGGCCACATGCACAACCAAATTAGATTTGGCTAGTTTTGAAATCGGGCACGAGACTTGTCTATCCCACGCGGTGGAACCAAATTGGGAGACCAAATCCCTAGAGAAGGGTGGTTCGGATCCTCCGCCCAAACTCTCGCTCGCATACATAGCCAACTATACAAAGGATAAGCAAGGGATGACTCTGGCAGAGGCTATCACCGTTGGAGAGGCATCGAAATCGAAATGAGACAGAGAACATAACCGGAAGGAAAAGGCGTCAGAAGTTCAAGATGTGGCTGGCTCTCACTCTCGATGTTCAAAATCGGAGGCAAACCGGTCCGATAAAGAGGTGGTCAGTGATTCACTTGTCCATGGGGCAGAGGAGGCACTGGAAAAGGTAAAGGACATGACTAGAGATTCAACTGAAGAAGACGGAGTCGAACGCATTTCAGTGGAAGGCGAATGGGTGGATCAAGCATGCGATGCTCCTCAAAGAATAAATCAAGTTGGTCTTGCGATTAATAATTTGGTCAAGGCAAGTAAAGTAGATGCGACCCGGAAAGGATCTGAGAGCTGGCGAGAAGGCAAGATGATTAGTAGAAGAGGGGAAACGAGCAACTTCAGTCAGTCCAGATCAGTTGTCTCGGCCAAAAGCTTGCGCAAGGAGAAGAGGTTAGATTTCTTCTCTGGTAATTATATTAATGATAACAACATAGAAAATTGTAATAGGTTGTTCTGGATAAATAAAGGGTATCAGAAAGCGGTTAGATTATGGGAGATAGGGAGAGAGATAGGGTTCACGTACGAAGGGGATATTAATTTGGTCATAAATAAACTGAAGGAGATAGATGAAGAGGGGAGATACAGTGATCCATGAGGGTGTTGAGCATAAATGTTAGAGGTATTAGGAGATGGTATGTATACAAGAGACAAAATTAACTAAACATGATGAGAGTATATGTTACAGCATATGGAACCATAATAATATTCAATGGGTATTTAAGCAGGCAGAGAATGGGTCAGGAGGGATTTTAAGCACCTCGGATGTGGATAAGTTTGAGTGTGAAAATATGATTATAGGAGAAGGGCTAATAGCAGAGCTAGAAAATATAAGAGAAAGAACATAAAATTTACAGTGGTAAACATTTACTCTTCTTGTGTAATGAAGGAAAAATATAAACTGTGGGAAGACATACATGTGAGTGTCCAAAATCTGTCAAGCAAGGTTTATTGTGTGATAGGAGACTTCAACACAGTCAAAAAACCTGAATAGAGAAAAGGAAGTAGTGAAAGAGGTAGAGTAA